GAGAGAGAGAGAGAGAGAGATTGTGTGTGTGCATGTGTGTGTGTGTTTGGGAGGGAGGGAGGGAGGGAGAGGTTGTTTTAACAATGCTGTAGGATCTTCTAGAAATGCTGTAGGATCTTCTAAGCGCCATGCATTATAACTAGGAAATACTGTTTAGTTCAAAATGCTGTAGGATCTTCTAGAGATGCTGTAGGATATTCTAAATGGCATGCATTATAACTAGGAAATTCTGCTTGAGCGTTGAGATTGTTTCAAACTTGGTTTGTAGGATTTACTTCGTTCGCAATAAACCTTGACAGGAACCATCTATCCAGCAACCTATTCTTCTTGTACATATTCGGTAAATCCTTTTTCTCTTCATAGGCAATAAATTGATATCCTCTAGATGGAACTTTTGTATTTTAAAGTGATGATTACTGCAGGTAAGCTTGTTGAAGAGGAGGAAGGAAGCCTTGCCTTGTGGATCTCCTATTTGCTAACGGGAGCTGGAGCAAACCTTGTCTCGCTTCTCATACTTCCAAGAAATGCAGTATCTTTGGGAGCCTCGGGGGCCGTATTTGGACTTTTTGCAGTTAGTGTTCTTGTGAAGGTACAAACTGTTTCTATTCTTCTTTTTCTATTTCTTTAGGAAGAAATTGTTCTACAATCCATTGGAAAATGGATAACTGTAGTCCATTGGGGTGATGAACACTGGATTAGATGATTGATGGTGATGGAGAGAGTGAGATCCAGCAACTGTGTCAGTTCCTGCTCTGGTGGATCCCAGTCACTCCCTATATCTTTCCATTTCATTGAATGGTGATGCCCAAATAGACCATGGTTTTTCCACATTCTATTGTGCTATAGTATGCTTTCCATTTTCTTCGCTCTTTAATATTTTTCAGGGGACTTTTTTTCTTGGCTTGGTGAAGGTGATTGCTGTATTCAGTTAATGATGCAACCATCTTTCTTTTCTGTATTTTGTATGGTGACTGCCCTTTTGAGTCAATGATACAACTGTCTTGAACATGGTTCAGACCATAGCCTAAAACCTCATGCATAAGTTTCTTTCTTTTTTTTGAAAGAATTCCTGACGTTGAAGTACATTATTCATTTCTCTTAATTTTAAATCGTTATTCTGATGGTCTATTAAAATCTATTTTGGAACGCAACATCCTAATGGTGATTTTAGAAACCTCTATTCCAAAACGTTTGACGACAGGTTGCCCTTATATTAATTAGAATAGCCTTAATTATTTCCTTTTTATCAAATTTAACATGATAGTTTTATTAAATATAAGGGCAAACTATTGTAAAAAATTTTGGAGTAGAGGTTTCTAAAATCACCACTATGATGGTAAATTCTAGAATCACTC